GTAGTGTTTTGGGATTAGTTTTTCCTGGTAGGACCGCATCACAGTTCGGTTCTGCCAGGTTGCTGTCGGTATCGAGCGGTAAATCCCCAACACCATATTGCCGAGCGTAACCCTATCGCGCATGACTGAGACCTAACCGATACATCACTCACCCCCCCCATACGCGGTTTGTAGGCTCCATGAGCCTCGTACTCGCACGGGGCCGTGTTCAACACGCGGCTCTCGCCGCCATCTTCTGGCGCGCAGGACCACGAAGACGACGATGGCGACGACGACGACGATGACAGCGACAGCGACGACGGCAACTACGTCACGACAGCAGAGTTCGAGAAGGTGATGGGTTCGAAGAGAGGCAAGGAGACGGTGCAACTGATCACCGCGACTGCTGCCAAAAGCGCCGCCAGGGTAGCTACGCGGCAGGCCTTGAAGTCCGTGCAGCAGCAGTTGGCAATGGTGCCGCAGCAGCAGGTAAGCGGAGCAGAGGACCGTTCCGGGGTCTTTGTGTGGGAAGAGGAAGGGAAGATGCAGCGTTTGTGCGTAGTTGGCGATGAGTGCAAGCACTTGCCGTGACATGTCCGTTTTTTTTTTTTTTCTTGTCGCGTTGTGAATAAGTGTTTCAGCCATCGTTTCTTTCCCGCCCAGAGGTGCCGTGCGTTGACATGTGGCTATTTCGGGGGGAGAGTTGTTTCGCCTTCTCTCACGCTTCCGTGGTGCCTCTCCCCATGCAAGGGTATCCCTCGTTTTCCTCGCGGCTCCCTCCCTCCTCCCCGTTGCTGCAAATTGCCCGCCCTCCCTCCGGCGTCTAGGCCACGAAGACGCACAAAAGTGGCAAGGGGTCAGAGCGCGGCCCACGTATGAGATGCGCCATCGTCGCCACTGGCGCATTCGTTAAGTCGAACAGATGANGCTATTTCGGGGGGAGAGTTGTTTCGCCTGCTCTCACGCTTCCGTGGTGCCTCTCCCCATGCATGGGTATCCCTCGTTTGCCTCACGGCTCCCTCCCTCCTCCCCGTTGCTGCGAATTGCCCGCCCTCCCTCCGGCGTCTAGGCCGCGAAGACGCACAAAAGTGGCAAGGGGTCAGAGCGCGGCCCACGTATGAGATGCGCCATCCTCGCCACTGGCGCATTCGTGAAGTCGAACAGGTGGACGAAGGACAACGGGGAGCTCGTCCCCTATACCCCAACCACCACCAACTGCCACGCCAAGAAGGCCGTTTACGAGTTGATGCGCTATGTGGGCAGCGTGGCCATTTGGGACAAAGATGTCCAAAGTGAGCGAACATGATAGTCCTGGGAGCAACATTTTTTTTCCTTGTGCGTTCAAACATGTCACGAGCCCGGCAGCCGACGTCAGGTGTACCCGCTCAACTGCAAGTCCCTGCGCGTTCGTATGTTGACTCGTCTGTATTTCATAGAGCCACAAAGTGTTGAGGACGTTGCGCTAGAGTGCCATCATTGATTTGCAACGCGAGGTGAGCACCCGCGGTTGGCGTTTTGTACAAGTCTCCCAAGAAAGTGACCATAAAACATATGTCCGGTCAATCACCAGCCGTGTGTAGCATGGTCGAAATTCAGTTGTAAATTAAGATGACAACGTTCGGCGTGTGATTGTTTCCATTCCGTCATAACACGCACACCGCTTCTGCCTGCCCGCCTCACGCCTGCACGCGTACGACTGCTTCCTGTTCCTTCCTCCATGTCTGCTTTATATACGTTCGGCCTGTCCTTGTGGGACTTG